AGGTCGGGATTGGGGTGCACTGGCAGGGCTGCAGGTCAGGAGTGGGGTGCACTGGCAGGGATGAGAAGCTGCCTGGCACCTACAGTACCCTGTTACACCCTGCGTTTTCTATCGGGAACTACCTCCGCCCCGCTATCCCTCTGTACCTTATGCAGGGGGAGTCTCTGGGCCTGCCAGGTGCCCGGCTCTGCTGCTGTCGGCTTGGGGGGCCGCGTTCACAGACAGTTCGCTCTTAGTCCTGTTCTCTTCTGCCGAGGGAGCCTTTGCTTTACTGTCTGGTAGGGAACAGTTCAGCACTTCCTCCCCCTGCGGCTTTGGGCTCACAGGTGACTGAGGCTGCCCCATGCCAAGCGAAGGCTTCCTGGCTATGGGAGGTGGGACCTTGCTGGACTTCCTCTGTGCTTGTGGCTTGCCAGGGGGCACCTGGCCCTGCTGGGACATTGTTGGGACTGTGGAGCGCTGCCCGGCAAAATTCATCAGCTCAGCTACCAAGTTCCTCTTCAGGTCGGCCTGGGCCTCTGGGGAAGATGGGGTCTCTATGACCAGCTTCTTGGAGCTCTTGGCGAAGATGAAGCTGGCGGTGGAGGCAGGTGATTTGTGGATGGGGGACACCTGGCCGTCCTTGGCATCCCCAGCGGTGGGCTCCGAGCTAGAGGCTGCGTGGCCTGGGAGAGTCAGCTTGTTGCCGTTGGTCCAGTCCGCCAGTCTGGAGGTCGGGGCGTCTCTGGAGGACAAGGGGGAAGTCTTCAGCCGTACGGCATTTTGCAGCTGGTTCAAAGGCACAGTGTCTTTGGAAGAAGGGGACTGCCGCAGGGACAGGGACTTGCGGATGGGTTTCTGGGGGACCTGCTGAGGCTGCTTCCCTACGCCATCGGCGCCCTGTCCGTTCTGGCCAGGCGGCTGCTTGCCTGGGCCGGCCGGCGCATGCCCATCCACGTTGACCGAGCGCAGGCGCACCATCTGCAGCAGGGAGGGAGTGACGATGGGGAGGTTTGCGTCCTCCTTTGGCGTGGGGTTGCTCTTACTGCGAGAGACAGGCTCCTTCTTAGGATCCAGCCGGGAGCCATTCGCTGTCTTCTTAAGGCTTGCTTGAGGCTGGAGAGCTGTGGGCGGGGCTGGAGCCGCAGGTGCGGGAGGCGGGGCTGCAGGCACCGGAGGATTGGCCTGGCTAGGCTGCAAGCCAGGCGTTGCTCCGGCTGATGGGGGCATGGCGGGGGGCATGGGCAACTCCGCAGCGGGAGCTGGCAGTGTTGACCCAGCCAAGGGGCCCTGTTGCTGCTGAGTCCTTGAGGAGACTTTGGCGGAGAATGTGAGCGAGGCTGCCCCTGGACCATCCCCTGTGGGTGCTGCTTTGGGGTTGGCCGGCTGCTCTGACCCCGCGGGCTCTGGCTGGGCTGCAACGGAAGAAGACACTGCGGTTCCGATGACTGGGAGCGGCTCCGGCAGGGTGGAGAAGCCGGCCTCGTCTGGAGGAGGGAAGTCCGCCATGGACAGATCCTGTTCGTCCAGCGCTGGGGGAGGAGGTGGGGGCCACGAAGGATCCTGAGGCGCCTCCCGGGTAGTCTCTGAGTGGGGGGCTTCTGGACTTGTCTCAGCCTTTTTCACTGGTGGTGGAGGAGGATGGTAGGGAGGTGGAGGAGATGGAGGGGGTGACCTGCCGCTGGGCTTCTGGCTGGCTGTGCTTGGGGCAGGGGAGGAGACAGTGGGGCTGGCAGAAGGCGCTGCCTGCCGGGGCTTGGTGGGCGGGGGGGAGATAGGGGCCGGCACCTTGGGGTGAGGAGGAATAATAAACCTGTCCATTCTACTCTGCCAGGAAAGGGCCGGGCCAGCTGGGGGTGCCACGGTCTCGGCAGGGGCTGGGTCGGAGGTGGAAGAAGATAAGGAGGTCAGTGAGGAGGAGATGGACAGCGCAGGAGACTGCAGCGAGCAGACCCTCTCCGGTTTCTTTGGCTGGGGCCTCCTCTTTCCTGGAGATGAGGCGTGAGGGCCAAGCCCTTTGGTGGGGAGGGTGGGGGTGCCGCTCTGACTCGAGTAGCCACTGGAGGGCGACATGGTGCGCTTGAATCCCTCGGGGGAGCTCTGCTGCTCCCTGAGGATGACGGCCACCCCCTCCACCTCCCTCCGGAGCTTCTCCCCCGGCACTGGGCTGCACCGGGACACGTCGGGGGAGCTGGCGTCGGCCGAGTAGGCCAGGCTGTCAGAGCGGATGCTGCTCGTCTCGCTCAGCGAGCAGGGCGAGAAAACCTCGTCCTCGGCCAGGGGGCTCTGGCTCTCCAGGCGCGGTGTCCACGGCTCACGCTGGTGTCTGGGATCTGGCTTAGGGGGCAGGCCCAGCACCTTCTGTCCCCCCTCGCCCACCACCTGCTGCCTCTGCTGAGCCTTTTGGTGCAGGGAGTGGGTCCTCCTGGGGGGTGCCGGCGGCTTCTTCATCTTCCTGAGGGATACGCTGCGTGTGGAAGAGCGGTCGCTCCTTACGCTCACGGTGTCCGAGCCATCCGCCATGCTGCTGGTGCTGTACGCAGGTGAGGCCCTGCCGCTGCTGCCCCCCGGCCCCACCGCCAGCAGGCCGTGGGCCGTGTAGACAGGCCTGGCCTTGGAACAGGAGTTGGTGCAGCTCGTGGCACTGTAGACACTGAGTTGGTCTGTGTCGGACCGGCCTGCCGTATCCGCCTCGCTGGGTGGCCCGGCCTCCCCCTTCCTGCTGTCGGAGCCGCCCTGCGAGGAGATGGTGGAGCTGTCGGACACGATGGTCTCCGTGGACTGGGAGTGGCTCCAGTTGTCACTGGAGGAGGAGTGCTCCCGGCTGCGGGCACTGGGCTCCGAGAAGCGGGCGAGGGAGCGGACTGAGGCCGGGCTGGAGGAAACCAGGCTGCAGCGGCTCAGCGTGCGGACGCTGCTCCTGCTCAGCGCAATGACGTCCACCATGGGGGGCAGGACGGCGTTGGGAATGATCTTGGACATGTAGGTGGCCTGGGGGGAAATGGACATAACAGGGCCCCGCAGCTCCGGGGGAGGGCTGGGGTTGGTGGTCATGCCCGGCACAGCCAGTGACTTCGGCCTCAGGAAGGGAGACAGCTTGGCTGCCGTCCTCCTCCCCAGCAGTGAGTCATCGTAGTAGACATGGTTGATGTGCCTCTGGATGGCTGCGTCTGACTCTGCCTCCTCCAGGGCTTGCAGGGATATACGGGCGCCACCCTTGGGGGCCGGCGGGGGCTGCAGGTTTCCATTGAAGGTGGGGATGTGGATCATGCCACCGTCTGCCTCGCCGCCATTCACCAAGGGCAGGGATGCTGGGCTGTGGGGGCTCCCAGCCTGCCTGGGGCCATCTCTGGGGGAAACGCTGCCAGGGCGTTTCCTCGGCTCGTGACTGTTTCTCAGACCTGAGAGTGGATAGGAGCAAAATCCAGTATCATTATAAACCGATCCCGGCGGGCAGGCAGCCCTCGCTGATTGCAGACAGGGGTTACTATGGGCTGGCAGGGCTCACTTAAATCAACGCTGGCCATGGCCGGGGCCTCAGTGCAGCTCAGTCCTGCCTGTTCTCTCCCTGTGACACCCAGTAGTTCAGACTCCTGAGGGCTGTAATACCATGGTCTGAGTCTGGTTGTCAGGGTGTGAAGTGGCTGGATGGGGTGATGGCCTCTTCTACACAGGAGGTCAGACCGGGGGCTCTGGTGGTCCCTTTTGCCTTACGCTCTGACGCCTCCCCACTGCCCCTTGGACACTCCACTGCTAAAGGGATGGCACGGGGACCTCCAGGAACAAGCCAGCTCCTAGCCTGAGCCCGGAGTCGAAGTCTGAGCAGGGAGAGAACTCTGGCTCACTCGTGCACACGGAGCGGCTGCTGTCCCTGAGCTCTCCCTCCAGCAAGGCCCATCCGCCCTCCTTACCCAGCTCCTTCTGGACATGCTGGGGGATGCCCAGCACCGTCGTCCTCCTCTCCTTCCTCCTCTTCCCTGCCTTCTCCGAGGATTTGGGGAAGGAGTCGTGAGGCCGGAAGGTGGAACCTGAAATCAGTTAAGATGAAATAAAGTCCCAGGCTGGCAAGCGGGGACCAGCCGCATCAGACCTAAGTAAACAATGGTTTTAAATGGAGGTTGGATTTTACCATGAGTGAGAGGCCCCAGACCGAGACCATGAGAAAGGGGAACTGTTTGTGGTAAACTTGTAGCGACCCTGGAAATACCAGTTATCTTATTTAAGGGTTGGGCCAAGCACTAGAAATAAAGAAAACATGGGTAATTGGGCAGCAGGTGCAGTGAGTAATTGGTAGAAAATGCTTAGTCCGGTAACTAGGGGAAAACACGGCAAAGTGAGATAAGGAAACCTTGGAGAAAGCAGAGTGCAGCTCTCAGCTGAGTTTAGTGAAGGTCCAATAACCAGCAATGCCGTCGCTTGTTTGTTACAGAGCACAAAATGTCCCGTGTTCTAGGGCTGCTTGTCAGAGCTTTCCTTACCCCTCTGGAGCCATGCCATGATGGGAAGGCGTCTCCCAGGTCTGAACCGGCTTTTGGCCAATGCTTACAACTGCACTGTAGCTGGGTATCGAATATAAGGCCGTATATGCTTATATTGATACTTTGGATGGAATCAACACCAAGTAGCCGTGGGGGCTAACAAAGGAATGCCTGTGGAAACCGAGTCCTGGTAAACCTTGGCAAAGCTACCAGGGAAATGATCTCCCACTGCCTCGCCCACCGTTCCGCTGTCACTCTGCCAGGAGTTCTCCCTGCTCCTGCCCTAGAGCACAATCCAGCCCCAGTGCGGGGGAGCCAGGCTCAGGACGACCAGCAGAGCCCTGACAGCTGCGTGAGCGTACACTGAACATCTGCACAATCTATTGTGAGCGGCAGCTGCCCCGGGCAGAGCCTGGAAGAGTACTTACCCCGCCCCGCCCTAACCCCGGAACAGTCCCTCCCCCCATCTCAGCTGAGAGCTCTGGCCCAAAGGACAGGCTTGATGTCCCTTGTGGAATCACCCAGCAGTCCTCAGGCCACCCAAACCCCAGCTCACGCGGCTCGGCTGGATTCTCACGCCGTCCAGATGGCTCGCCCTCCCCAAAACTCCCATCCCGCCCGCGGCTGGTACCTTTCCTCTGGATCATCTCCGAGCGGATGGAGAGGGCGTCCTCGGAGGCATTCTCTGTCGTGCATGATTGGGTCCTGCTTCGGAAGGAAATCTCATCATCCTCCGCAGAGGTGTGGGAAGACTGCGTGGGGAGGAGAACGGGTTCAAATAAGTCCCAAGCCCTATAGGGACAGATGCCTCCCTCCTTCTGCAAGCCGCTCCCCAGCATCAGAGTCCCCCAACAGGGTCCCTTCTCAGCCAGAAAGCAACTCAGCAGCTCCACACTTTGAAGACATAAAACTTCTCGGAGGCCCAGCCCCATCTGCATGCAGGCAGAACCCCCTCAACTAGGAAACGGGGCCGGAGAGTGCAGCCCCCTGTCCTAAGGTGTGTTCAGCCAGCCCCTGGGCCCCCTTGACAGAGGAGACCCAGCCAGAGGGAATGAATGCCCAGCAGTGACCTGACCTGGCACCAGATGGCGCTGCCTACTTCACGTACTGTGAAAATGAGCCCTTCGCAGCGAGTGGCCCGCTGCAGTTGTCTGACTGGGGATGCACTGATTGCAGCTGAATTTAACCTGGCTCCCAAGCGAGTGCAGCCAAACCGGCGTAACCCTGGTGTGAACCAGCATGAGAGTTCCACGCGGCCCTCGGCACCGCTGCATGTGTCTACACACGCCCTGCGCTTCCAGGATTTCATCTCATTCTCCCCAAGGGAGGGAGCGCCGCTCGAACATGCCCGATGGGAATGAGGGAGCGGCCTGTAGATGATTAGGAAGGGCACTGGGAGGGATGCAAACAATCGCACAGTGGTGGGACTGTGATTTGCTGCAGCGGGACCCCAGAGCCCCCTCCCTGGGTGAAACAGCAGCACAAAATCCCAGCTGGCAAATGGGCAGCTGCGTTTGCCAGCAACACCCTGCAGTTTATTTCTGCTGCCTCTCTCTGAAAACCACCACACTGTCCATCTTCCCCACCTCTCCTCTGTGCCTCTTCCCTCCCCCGTCTACACACTCACAGGCGTTAAGGCTGCCAGCTTGCGGCCCGGCGCGGCTCTGCTCCTTTGCTAGAGCTTTGGCCAGTCTCATTTTCAACGTCGCCAGCTCTGGGGCTCCCCCACATTCCCCTGAGAGACCGTTTCAAAGCCCATCAGACCCTATCAGTGGGGAATACGTCCTGACAGCCAACCTACATTTTCCTTGCTTGATATTATGGCAACTGAATCAAGGGTCTGCAGCTGGGGTGTCTGCAGCCAACATGAATAGTCTTGTGGTTCAAGCACTGGACTGGGAGTCACGAGATCTGGGCTCCAGCCCCAGTGACTTGTTGGGTGGCCTTGGCCAAGTCACTTAGCTGCTTTCTTCCTCAGTTTCCCCATTTTGCAAAGCAGAGATGATAATCCCTGTCTCACAAGGCAGAGCGAGCATTCGAGTGTATCCTCCGCTTAGCCTCAGCCCAGCTGGAGACATTTAGATGAACCACGCCAGCCTATGAATCACGGTTGCTGCTCTTCTCTGAATTCTCTAACATTTGATACTGAGGAGTTCAGAACCTGCCCCACAGGGCTCTAGATGAGGTACTGTGTAGGACAGAGGTCTCAGGTCTCGGGTTTGCCTTCCCTGGTGGCTCTGTCTGCCCTACTGAGTTACAGAGGCAAAAAACCAGACAGTCAGCTGTTTGAGCAAATACACCCAGTGAGGCTCTAGGGGAGAGAAGGGCGTGGGCGGAGGAGGGTCAGAGGCCCAGAGACTGGCCGAAACCAAGCTTTGGCTAAAGGGGTCGGCATTTCTTGGCTGTTAAGAGACGGGGGAGGGACTCTGGACATGAGCCGAGTGGGTCACAGTCGGGCAGGCCCTCCCCACCGCTCGTTACTGCCAAGATAAACCGAAGGGAATAACTGCAGTGAAGGGAATAGCATGCGCCAGGACACCAGCTCCATGCGGCTGCTTGTTTGCAGGGCCTGCCTTTCCCCAGCACAATCAGCAGCACCGGGCTCCGTTCTCCCTTATCCGCTGCAGAACCACCTAAGAACCACATGGCCCTGACTCAGCCCTATCAGCATCTGATTGCATCTCTCAGCTCCTCGTGTTCCCCCAGGGTTTCCCTTCCCCGGCCATCGCCCCTGAGAAGCTGCGTGCCAGGATGCTCCTTTAGATCCAGCGTGAGCGGGAAGGCGCCCGAGAGAGAACATCTCGGGGATGCCCAGGCCTTCCCCATGATGGGGGCTGGGGAGCAGCCAGGAACATTCACCACCCAACGCTGTTCCTGCCCCACTGCAGGGGCAATGACGGCCATGTGCGTCAGCAGAGTGCGCTGCGTGCCAACCAGCACCCGAGCCCAGAGAGGCAGGGGTGAGGGCAGTCACCCACCTGGATGCTGTTGCTGTCTCCGTGGTCCCAGCCGCTTCTGGTCTGTTTTTGTTTTTCTGGAAGAGGAAAGATGGAAAAAAAATCCCTAAGGAAAATGTAAGAGAGGAGGAGTCCCATCAAACCGCTGTGCTTGGAGGCCATGGCCCGGGGGCGCAGGAACGGGGCAGCCCAGAGCAGGGCTGGGGGACAGCAGGTGATGCTGGCCCTGTGTGTCCTGCAGATCAATACATCCCCCTCCCCCACACACACCCTGCCGCAACCACTCCACCTTCTCTGCCAGCCCCACAGTGACTGGACCTCTGGTCAGACACACAAACAGCCCACCCACAGCCCCCTGCCTGTCCGACCGACGAGCAGGGGCAGCGTGGGTGGGTGCAGGCTGGTGGAACATACATACTGGGCCTGTGTGAGAGAGTGAGATTCGAGGGGGGGGGAGAGTGTCAGATTTATGTGACCCCCTCCTGCTTTGGCTTTTCCTCCCCTTCAGTGTGTCGGCTGCACCAGTGCTGCCTCCTCTGACGCTCGCCTCCCACCAAGGCACGTGCCCCATTTGTATCCCCAGGGAGCACCAGGCCTGCCCCACCCCCTGGGAGACCCTCTCCCCTGGATGCACGCTCAGGGGGAAGCAGGCGCAGAGCAGAGTACCGGGAGTGGACAAGCAGCCCCCTGGGACGGTGCGTACCTTGGTGCTGCAGAGATTTGAGTCCTGCCTGAGCCTGGTTGTGCAGCTCTTCCAGGTGCGGCGGGCGGCTGCTGGGGAAGAAGACATTGTCGGGCCGCTCCTCTCCCGCCTTGTACTGGACATTCAGCCTCTTGTTGTTCTCAGCCTTGGCAGAGCCTGGGAAGGCAAAAGGAATCCGCCTAGCACCCCCACATCCCAGCCCCTGCCGTGGGGGCTCCTGGCGCCCTCCGGTGGGATGGGGAGGAGACAGCAAGAGGCAGCTCCAGGCCTGGGCTCCCCCCCACCCCCCGCCAGTGGGGAGCAGCCCTCACACTCACAGCTTCCCGGCCAGCACCGCGAGGGACAAGTATTTGCTCCTATCCTCGCTCCGGGCTGACTGACTCTGTCAGCGAGATGGAAGCAGAACAGTGCAGCCACCTGGCCTGCAGGAATCCTGGTGCCCCGGTGCGTGGGGGAGGGGGCACCGGGCCCAGCTGGGGTACGGAGGGGGACTGATGCGTTATCGTTTGGGCTGCATGAGGCTCAGGAAGGGTGAAGGGCAGCTCTGGGCGACTGGCTTCCAGCCCCGCTCAAGGCCGTGGGAAATTCCCCTTGGTTGCATGGTTCCCATCAACAGCTTGCACAGATAGCAGGTGTTTGGGGGGTGGGAGGGGAGAGTGCATCACAGAAAGTGGTGGGGGGAGCCTGAACAGAAGCAGGTGTGCAAATGGGGGGACACCGGGGGACTTCTGGGGAAGCAGCACGCGTGAGTTCCCTGGACTCACTGGCGGCCTTGGCTCTCTCGCTCCCACCTGGTCCTGCTCACACATCCCCCCGGCCACACCAGTGGGATGCCAACGACTCCTGCTTCACCCCCAGGGCTCTACCCAGTGCCCGTCGTGCCATGCGAGCCGCAGGTAGGGAGGGGCCATCCCATCCCGTACAGACAGGAGCTGAGGCCCAGGGTGGATTCAGTGCATCATACAGCAACTTGTGGCAGAGCCGGGAACTGACCCCAGCTCTCTCAAGTGCCTGCTCGGTGCCCTGGTCACTGGACCGTCCTTCCTAAGCATTAGGAGGATCTCCATCACCCCTGGGGGGCAGGGCCGGGGTTAAATAGCTTTCCCTGACGAAGCTAGGGGCAAAGCTAGACAGCTGAAGGCCTGGCCCTGCTGGGGAAGGTCAGTGCTCAGGGCAGGTCTACACTTAAAAAGCTGCCGCTACTGCATGTTAGTGAAGACACTACTATGGCGCAGTAGTTATGCCGACGGGAGAGGCGGTAGCTATGCCGACGGGAGAGGCCCTCCCATCGCCCTTGCGCTGCCCACACCGGGGGTTAGGTCGGTAAAAGTGCGGTGCTTCGGGGGGTGGATTTTTCACACCTCTGAGCGACGTAGTTATACCGATGTACGTTTATAGTGTAGACCTGGCCGCAGTCTCTGCTCTAGGATCCATCCCCTTGGCGTCCCCTCTGCTGGAGTCTGTATCCCCATGGCCTGGCATTTCTGACTCTGCGATGCTAGCAGGAATCAACAAGGCAGCTAGGCAAGTCCAGGGCTTTTGCATTTCCTGTCTCCATTGCAGCAGAACCCCTCACAGTCAGCTCCTCTGACAGCCCTGCGCTGGCAGAGGTGATCTAATACCTTCCCCACCAGCCCCTGGCTTTGGCAGCGGGAGGCTGCAGGTCTGACTCTGCTCTTTTGGAAGTGGATCCTGTGCCTTTAAAATGAATGCACTGAATAAGTGAAAGCTCCCCAGGGTGTATCACATGACTGATACCAGAAATATCTGTGCACCTTGCACACAAACCAAATGAGCCAGCAGTTCAGGGCAACTTAAAGGGACAGGCCACACCAGCCCGGGGGAGAGTCCTCCACAGAGCCCCAACGCCTCCAACTTCACCGCAGGGACTAAGGAGCCAATCCTAACCCAATGGGAGCAGAGGGTGCCCAGTGCCTTGCAGGATGGGACCAGGGGGCTGTTTGGCATAATCTCAGAGCAAGAGGGTAATTGCCGGCTGATTTATTGCTGCTCTAGTGATCAAAATACCGTGAGAAACAGTCAGGCCCTTAAATACATCCCTAATAATAGTATTGACATGCTATTTATAGCCCAACTTCGAGCCAATAAATGACTAATACGTTGTCCTTATTATACAGCCCCTTTCATCTGAGGATCTCAAAGCACATTACAAACACTAATTAAGCATCATAATTGCCTCTCTTCCCCCATGAAGTTGCTATATATTGTAATAAACTAGCTTTTGGGGGCATCATTGTCTTCCACTAGGTGGAATCAGAATAGCTCAACTGAGTCATAGCCCCTATGTGGATAATAACTAAAAGAGAATCTCCTTACATTCAAGTGGCAGAGGCCTGTGGATTTGAAATGAAACAGGAGGACCAATTTTCTATCCCCACGGTCTCTGTGAAGTTCTGAGCAGCTGCAGGGTTTAGCACAGGATTCAAAGTTGTCACTAACTGGCTACAGTGGGATTTATTCACAGATAATTATCCCCATTTCACAGATGGGGAAACTGAAGCACAAATCACTTGCCCAGAGTCACACAGTGAGTCAGTGGAAGAGCCAGGAACAGAGTCTAGGGGCTTTGAGTCCCAACCCCCTGCTCTAGTCACTGGGAATTACTTGCTTTGCCTGGGCTACACAGATTTTGTACCAGTATAACTGTCGGTTAGGGGTGTGATTTTCTATCAGTAGTTATATCAGTGCAAGCCCTAGTGTGGAGGCAATTTTATCAGTATAGCTATTCCTGTACAGGAAGGGTCCGGTACACGGTAAAAGCACCTTTATACCAGTAGATCTGCATCCACCCTAGAGGGTTGGTATTGCTGTAACTATCCCACTATGGCTACAGCAGTACGACTTGCGTGCATAGACAAGGCTTTATTTATCCACGCCAGAAATTTGCATTCATTTCTTCTGCCCACAGACCAGCAAGAAGGAGGAAGCACTGGCTTCAGAGTATTCTCCCTGGGCTTCTCACAGCCAGACAAGATGAAGGAGGGAAAGGGTTGAAGACCAGGACAATAACTGGGACCTACCAAACGCTGTGGTTGGAGATCAGATCCCACCCCAGCCACGCACCTTCCAAACTGGCTCTCTCTTTCCCATTCCACGAGGCCTTCCTCCCACATTCCCCTTTCTGTCCACGATCTCACACTTTCCCTCAGCTTTGCACCTCTTCTCTCCAGGCAGGTAGCACTTATACCTTCGAACCGTACTTCACCCTCAGACCCCGTCAGAGGGAGGGGAGGATTATTATCCCAAGACACAGAGAGGTGAAGGGACTTGCCCCGATGTCATCTTCAGAGCAAAACTCTCTTTTTGGAAGAGATGCTCTGGTCGAACACAGGTTACAGGGCCCAACGCAGGGGGACCTGGGGGAAGTTCTCTGGCCTGTTCTCCGCAGGGGATCAGACAACATGATCTCATGGTCCCTTCTGGCCTTGGAATCAATTCATCTCTGAATGAGGTGTCCCAGCCAATCAGTGGCAGAGCTGGAAAAAGAACCCAGGAGTCCAGGCTGGTTCTTAGCCCAGGCTATTGCCCTACTTCACCCCACTAGTTACTAGTGCACTGAAGCCTTCTACATGCCGATCCCAGGCTGCCCTGGAACACCTCGCCCCCACCTGCCTTTTCTCAGCTTAGCAACAAATCGATACAGTGGAGACAGGTTTCTCAAGCGCTGCCCACACTGGGGAGGTTTCATCCTCCCTTGCCTGAGAAGGACAAAGCTGGGGGTGCAGGCCCTGGGCCCATCCGTCTACCAGCATCTTTGTCCAGGGAAAGCGAGTTGGTACATTGGACGCAGGTTTGCCACCAGCAAAGGAGATAAGTGGCAGGGGAGGGGGTGGGAGTCTGAAGCGAAACAAGTAAATAAAGCAGAAGATTCTCCTCCCACCTCAGCACTGACACCCCTTACAGCACTCCAACCAGGCGTCTCAAAGCCCCTCAAACACAGGAATTAACTGATCCCCACAATCCCCCTGTGAGGCAGGGAAGTATTTACCCAGTTTTTTAAAATGGGGAAACTGAGGCACAGAGGGAGGCTGCGACTGGAGCACCCAGTCGAGCCGGGAGCAGAACCCAGATCTCCTAACTTCCAGTCCCCTCCTTTATCTATTAGGCCACACTTCCTACCCCATTCCAGTGAAATCATCCCTTTCCTTGTGGTAGCACGCTAGATTCTCATCTCAAAACAGCCTCCATGCACACAGCTGCTCAGTGGACTGAGGCATCAGTAGCTGGCTCTCACCAGCTGCCCCGGGCTCCAGGATCTCCTGGATGAGTTCTGTGGGGGGTCACGCTTCCCACTGTCTACCCTGGGAGATAGGCGGGTGCAGAGTTAGCTCGGCAGGCTCTCCCCCTTCAGCCTACGTTTCTTGCCCATTACGGCTCATCTCATTTTAGCTGCCCTGCAGCAGTGGAGAGAAAAACAACTTTGTGCTGAAGAAAGGACGGGAGAGGATGAGTAGCTGACAGAGGCCGTGGAATCACCACAGAGGCACCGACCGTCCCCCTGCACACACTTCCCAGTGTCTTCTTTGCCAATCGCCCAGTCGGCAGGCCACACACACACACACACACACACACACACACACACACACACACACACACAGGGCCTCTAGCCCAAATAGCTAGAGAACCACCCCTCCTCCACAGCATCTCTGCCACTGCTGCACACACCCCATGTATGCACTCAGATTAAAAGCCAGGCAGATGAAATACCGACTGCTGCAGCAGCTCCAGATCTGCACAATGGGGAAAGGACACAGGACAATAGACAGGATTCCACCCTGCTAAGCCGCACAGAAAAAGAGATTGTCTCCCAGCCAGCAGCATCTGCAGCCAGCCAGCTGCAGGGTCGGACATGGGCAGAAACAGCAGGGCCAAAGCATCCAGGATAAGTTGGGACAGAGACCACAAAGCACACACAACCCAGTTTATGGGACCCAGGAGCTCTCTCTCACACCCCACCAGGGCCAATGCCTTCATCCAGGACCCCGGTCCACCCCCATAGGACCGTGCAAACCCCAACCAAGCCCTTTATTGCTGTGAGTTCAACACGATCACTCCCCCAGCCCGGGCACACTCTGCGAGTCATCTTCAGGCAGGAAGCAGCTCGCTGGTTTATTCTGTTAACTTCCTAACAAGAG